AAAAACATCAGTCGTTTGCCATCCAAACCAGAGCTTTATAGAAGTTATTAAACATTTATATTTTTTAGAAAATTTATTTGTAAATGTCAAATTGAGATTTATCCGCAATGGCTTTTGAAAACTAGTAACCAAATAGAAAAATTTCTAAATGAAAAATGACATTTTTCTCACAAACAAATTATACTTTACCTATGTACTTCTACCTTTGTTGCAATTCCATGGAATAAATAAATCACGTCTTCATTACACAAAAGTAACGAGCGAAAAGTTCTATACAAAAGGCTATTTTTACCATATAGAAATTTGATTGCAACGAACAAAAATGTTCTAAGAAAAAAAACAAATTTTCTTAGAATGATTCAAAATGAATTGTTCGAGTGCAAATATTTTAAAAAAGGAAATTCTAGGAAAGGGGGTGGCGTAGTTTAACTGAAGATAAAATTGTTACGTGAAAATAAAGACGAATTCTGAAAACCAGAATACTGTGAAATGCTTTTTTTTTATTTTTTTATTCCGTCTTCCTTTTTTCTTGGCTATAAAGGTGAAAAGGCATAAAAAGCCATAAAAAGCGATGAAAAGGGTCTCATTTTCGCTTTGAATAGGGTAGCCCATTTTTCATTTCATGTTCCTTTTCACACTTTTCTAATTCTAATCTAAATTTTTCTTCTTTACCTCCTCCTCGCTTTCAGCTCTCTTTTCTCAAGGGAATGCACTACAAATCCCAAAAGTGGTTTTCTGCCACTCGTTTAAAGATAATTGCAAGTTAAATTTTTATATATTTTTTTTCTCATTTATTTCTTAGCTTTGGAATTGAATTCGAATTTTTAGGAAATAAATTTGAAAATTTCGAGGCAGTCATTAATGCTAAATTTTAATACCCTGAAAACAATAATATTATTTTTTTATGCGTGATATGATCAAATTTGTATTAAATATGAAAATGTTATTACTCGATTTATCGCTGGAGAAAATGTAATAAAAACAAGATAAAAAATATATAATTGCAGTGCAAAACTAAATGAATATTTCTAGTTACTTTTATTGAAGAAAAGTAAATATTTTTTATGTGTGTATTTTAAGTGATGTATAGATACGTGAATTGTAAAATGTTTTTAATTCATTCAATGTTAGAATGGGAAAAAGAAACATTCGAGAATGTATATTTAGAACAGTGCTGCTACAGTATGAGATCAATATTATGAAATGTTTTATTGAATATTTTTTTAATAAAATAATTTGCAAGCATTGTTTCTTTTTCAAAAATTTGACTGCATTGTACCCAATATTCGTTGTAACTAGATATCTGCTATGATATCTGATTGTGAATGATCTCTGAGAAAAAAAATATGATCTAAACTACCAGATTATGGTTAAATTAACCATGTTTCTGGTTCTAAAGGAACACCAAAAAGCACGATAATTTTTAGAGAACCGCTTTGATGTTTTTTTCTGCAAAATTAACAATAAAATATTGCTTTTTTACTATGCTGTTTGATAGTAAGCGCTTTAAAATTTGCTACTTTTATCATGATACCTTACAGCGTGGTTTAAGAAATATTTATTCGGTTAAAGCTACTTTTCGGATTTTTATTATTACTAAATGTGTAGTGATAAGACCTAAAATTCCGAAAAGTAGAATTTCATTTTTTTCTTTTACCATACAAATTGAAAAATTGCCAAATGAATAGTATGATACATTTTATTTAGGTTCTATGACCAGAATTATTGTTTTAAATTAGAAGTGCCATTACCATACAAGTAAGGTTACTTTAGTGCGATTTTTTTTTCTCTATGATAATATGTCATGAGAGCTCTAAGCATATTTTGTGATTTTACATCATATTCTCATTTTTAATACATTTCATCAGATTTACATTAAATGTGAGAGTAGTAAAACTAGTACTGAGACCAACAATATTAATATTCATCTCGTATATTAAACGTCATTAATGTGAATGCTCAATAATGTTAAACGAAATTCCAGAAAATATGTTATATCTTTTGTAACTTGATATCAGGTTTGATGTATAGTTGTGAGTAATACGTTATGAGAGTTCTAAAAACGTTATCTTTACGCAAGCAACATACACTTAAAAATGATAGTAACCTAATTGATCATAAAATCTTCAATGTTTCAGTCAATCTTTCTTTTAATCTTCAATCTTCTGCATAATTTAATTACTCCATTCACGCTTTTATTCTTTGTTTTTAATGTCAAATACTGGAGTTTTAAGAAAAGGATAATTAATATATTTTGGGACTAAGTATATGTTATGATATCTATTTATGACTGATAATATATCATGAGAGTTGAGAGTTCTAAAAATTTTATCTTTACAAAAGCAACATTTACTAAAATGATATTGACATTTTTCATCGCAAAATCTTCAATAGAACTCAATTTAATTTAATTACTCTATACACACTTCTATTCCATTCGCTTATTGTCAAGAAAAGGATAAGATGTAAGAAAAGGGTAATTATCTTTTGTGATTAAATATCTTTCATGCTATCTAGTTATGACTGATAATATATCGTGAGAGTTGAGAGTTGTCTTTACAAAAGCAACATTTACTTAAATGATAGTAACGTTTTTCATCATAAAATCTTGATTGAACTCAATTTAATTTTATTACTGTTTACACGCTTTTATTCTATTCGATTAATGTCAAATACTGGAGTTTTAAAAAAAAGAATGATTAATATCTTTTGTGACTATATGCTATGATATCTAGTTATGACTGATCATGAGAGTTGAGAGTTCTAAAAATCTTATCTTTACAAAAGCAATATTGACATTTTTCATCATAAAATCTTCAATGGAACTCAATTTAATTTAAATACTCTATACACACTTCTATTCTATTAACTTAATCCCAAATATTAAAATTTTAAAAAAAATAATAATTAATATCTTTCGTGACTAGATATCTGTCATGATTTCTAATTATGACTGATGTTTTATCATGAGAGTTGAGAGTTCTAAAATTTTATCTTTACAAAAGCAACATATACTTAAATGATAGTTACCTTTTTCGTCATAAAATCTTCAATAGATCTCAAATTAATTTAATTACTGGTTGCACGCTTTCATTCTATTCACTTAATGTCAAATATTAGAGTTTTTTTTTTTTTTTTTTTTTTTAAAAAATTAATATCTTTTGTGACTAGATATCTATTACGATATCGAGTTGTGACTGATAATATGTCATAAAAGTTCTAAAGATGTTATCTTCACAAAAGGCATCATTTACTTAAAAATGCAGAAAGACAGCAACCTGTTTCGTTATATAATTTTCAATGGAATATGCTGTTTTATCTAATACTGTCTCCACACTTTTATTCCATGCTCATAATGTCAAAGACAGGTTAAAAGAAAAATACTTTCCATTTCTAGAAGTTTCTTATTCGGTTTATAAAATAAATATTAATTATCTGTGAACATATTGACGATGTTAGGCTTTCCAGTAAACACCCACAAAGCTTTATTCTCAACATTATTAATCACAGAGTAATTTCAACTCGAAAAGTATTACTTACCATTCATTACGGATCTGGAAATTAAACACTGCGTGAATTTATAACCGTCACTGATAATGCTCCTATTCACAAGGTATCGGAATGAATGGTTATTCAGTGCAAGAAAAGCGAAAAAATTAAAAAATCGTCGAGCACGAAACCTGAAGGTGAAGGGATTTTCCACTTTAATTACTGTTTGTGAAATGAGAAGAAGTATTATTAAGATTCGAAAAAGGGGAAGGACGCGGCATGAAAAATGTACCCCAGCTTCAATAGATCACCCCTGAACCTTTCACTGAAGTGTCATGGGGAAAGTAATTCATTATATGGAATGTATTTACTCTGTTATATTCACAAAAGAAATTCTTTCTTTAAGAATAAAAGCGATGCAGCTTGATTGATTTAGAGTCAACATAAACATTCCAAGATGTGGGAGAAAATAAACAGAGAAAAAGTTATGTGAATTAATATTGGATGGGAGGAGAAAAAAATTATCAAGCCAAAGACTCATTAATTCATCTATTGATTTGATGAATTATGGAGAGAGTTTCGCAACCCAAGATGGACTTAGTGAAAGTGTTCGATTGCCTTCGGAGAAAGGCTGCTTTTGGTGTTTAAAAAAGTTATTTTTTTTAATTTGGTTTGGTGATTCAATTGATTATTTTTGATAGAAAAATATTAAAGGAGAAGGTATAAAAGCAGGCCGGTTGATATCGGTCTGATGTCAACTGTACAATGATAAAGAACTGAAAGGTGTTCAAAAAATCATGAAGAATGATAGTAAGTTTGAGCTATTTGTGAAATAAAATTTTGTCAATGAAGTTAGCGTAACAACTGATAACTCAAAATTATTTAAAATGCAATGCTACTCAACAAAAACAATGCTTTGACATAATTGAGCTACAGTTTGAGCATTGATGAACCATTTCGAGGTCGTGTAACTTTTCGTTTCGTTAACCAAAAATCAGCCATGTAATTTAACATGGTATGGTAGTTATATTTTCGTTTTCCAAAGTGTAAATTTGTTGCCAACAAGCCCAACAATCTCTTGTCTTGAAAGAGGAATTTAATAGCTGGGTCAACGAAATTTAACTACTATTCAAAATTTCCATGACAAATTTCCAGAAAAAAAGGGTATATGTACCAGACAAACCGCATTAACCGTAACCTTACTCGACACTGTACTAATTTTTTTTTTTTGTTCTTCCGTTATACTATTAGATAATTCCATTTTTCTTCTGATGTTCTATTTGCTCTTTTGTTCTTCCATAAAATTTTAATACTGAATTCCTTTGTTCTTATGTATTCTCTCATATATTAATCTCTTCGCTATTTTGTTATTCTATAAAATGCTAATTCCTCTGTCTTTTTCTGTTCTATTATATGCTAAGCTCTTTGTTCTTTTGTCATTCTATAAGAAGCTAATTCTTTTGCTCTTTTAATTTTCTGTAATACACTAATTCCCTTCTTCTTTTCTGCAGGTAATGCTAGGTATTTTCAAGAGGCCATCATTTTGGAATACAAAAGAAATACCCAGCATTCTGGATTGCTACAAAAACTGAATGCCACTTTATTAGATGATGATTCGAGTCTTAAAGAAATACTAGAAATTTCTAGAAAAGTTATGAAATGATTAAAAAAAATATGTTTTCTTCAATAATTTGAATTTCATTACAAGTTGTTTTCTTTCTATTTTGTCTTCAAAGAGAAAGCTGAAAGAAAACATTAAAAAAAAATTTAAAAAAACTGATGAAAATAAAAAAAATTTAAGATTAATTCGTAGCTATTAAGTTAGTTTTTGCTTACTAATCAACACAATGTAATAGCTATTTCATAGATGAATATAAACATATATATACTTATATCCTTTAAGGCAAATTTTGCCTTTTTTTCAAGGAGATATTTAAAATATGATTGAAGTGAAAGTTAAGAAAAAAAAGAAGATATTACTTTATGTTTCCATGCCATAGTGAGACCACACGTAGATGGAAAACACAGCACTGTAGAGGTAGTGATAAAAAAAATTATTAAGTACTCAAAAATTGTAAAGAGAACAAAAACAAAGAAACTGTACAAACTGTACAATGATCTTTGCAAAATACATTTAGAGATAACTCAGTATCGGATGACTAGAGGTTGCAGAACTTCACAAGTTACAAAAAAAAATGAGAACGTAGATTTAGATGATATTATCTGATATAATTATGATGATATAACTAACTTATTGAAAATTTGCCACGCAGGACTCCAAGAGAAATTTGTGGGCAAATAATTTTTTATTGCATATATACATATATAAATATATATATTATTACATTTTACTTTCTCGTTTTCGTTTCTTCAAAAACAGGAGATGATAGAAAAAAAAGTGGAAAGATGATGATGATTAAGATATATTAAAAACAAATATTACCGTCATATCAGCACAAGAAACTTTAACAACATCTGCACTGTGTTCTTCCAACTTTCCTAGCCAAAGAGAGGACTTGACTTTACTCCTATTACTTTTTCTGATGACGTCACGCCAAATTTTGATGACGTCATAAGCCAAAAAACCTATCCAAGATTTAACAAAAATAAACATTTTGGATGAAGATATATTTATGTGTGTAAAAGCACATTTAATCAACTATTTCTCACAGTATATGAACTGTTGTGATTTGGAACACAAACTGCATATTGATTCAAGACATTGTCCAGTTTATCACACATATGCATATGTTTCACTACAAAGCAAAGACTTTTCGAGAAGACTTAATACGATTTTTGGGTTTTTCTTTGAAATTGTATAGAGAAAAAAAAAGACCCACTGTTTAACATATTTCTATCATTCGCATTTGAAACGTATTTTATCCCCCCACAGCACTTTAGAATTTGATTTTGAAACATTATACAATTCTTCTTGCTTCTTAAAACATTTCCCGCGCCTAAGACAGGAGTTCCCAAATAATTCTTGAATCGATAAGCGCATCGCAAATTACTTTTTAGATTTAAGGTATCCAAGGCTGTTCGTTAAAAGCTTAAAAGGGAAGGCAATTTTAAAATAGTTTTAATAAATTATGGAAAGTTTCATACATTGGGCCGTTCTGAAAGTTGTTCATTGTAAGTTAATGAGTTTGTATAAAGTATTCCTATGCTTAAATTTTTCATTTTTTTGAAAAATAATAAAATATAAATTGAGATAAATTGCAAAATGGGAAAAGTTTAAGAATTAAAATGATTATTTATAAATAACGATAAATAAAACGAAATATTTTTAGTTTATTTAAAACATTTTGGGAATTAAAATAGTTTATTATTAATAGTTAACTACATCAGCATATTCACTAAACATATGAACAAAAATTAACACAACTAAATCTACTGTACAGAATTTAGAATATCCACGAAGCAAATGCTCTAAATTTCTCTATTCCTTTTTCACTAACTAAATAAATTCTAAATTAGTTTTATCAAATTAAATATCTTTAAATATTTAATTTAGAAAGTGCGATATTTTTATAATTTATGTTTCCAAAATTCTTTGGCAAATTATTTTCAATTTCTGTGTTAATCTAAAATACACTGTAAACTTCTTACGTATTATTTAACTATTAATATTCATAAACTTATATATAGCATATAATATTTCTTCTATATACTATATTTCTTCGCTATATTTATGTGAATTTTAGAAATACTCTAACTATTTCTGAGTTTCATATATTCAAACATATTAATGCTGTGAAAAAAGGAAAGACGAATATTTAACTCAGAATGTTAACTGCTCCCGTAAAATATTTAAAAATATATTAAGGCAATGCAAAAAAAGTTAACTTATTATAAATAGTTAACTTCCTCAGCATCCATATTTCTGAACAAAAATCAACATAACTAAATATACTGTACAGTGTTCATTAAATACTTTTATAAAAAACATTTTCCATATAAAAACACAAACTTAGAATTTCTTTATTTATTTTTAACTTTCATTAGAATATTCTAAATCCAAACTAATTTGATTAGATAAATATTTAAATTCAGGTATTAATACTATTTCAAAGATCACCCTTAAATTATTTTTCAATATCAATCTGGGTTAAACTGAGATAAACTGTAAACTGTATAGAATAATTTAAAACATGGAAGGAAAAATGGCAAACTATAAACTCAGACGATTATTAGGTATTATATATGATTGACTTTATCCGTAAAATATTTAAAATATATTCAGGCAGAACGGAAATAGTTAACTCTCTCTCTCTCTGAATGCTTATTCATGTACAAAAATTAACATAGCAAAATATACTGTACTATATTTAATAAATACTTTCATAAAAAGAATTTCCATACAAAAACACAAACTTGTGGAATTTTACTAATCGTTTTCACTTTTAATAGAATGTTCCAAATCTAAACTGAATTGATTAGGTAAATATTTTAATTTCGTTATTAATATTATTTCAAAATTCATCCGCAAATTATTTTTCAATATGTGAGTTAATTAATATTAACTGAGAGCTGTATAGAATAATTTAGTGCAAGAAAAGGAAATGGCAAAGTATAAATTCAGACGATTATTAGGTATTATATATGATTTACTGTTTCTAGCACATTTTTAGGGTAACTCGGGAACTCCTGGCCTTGTAAATAAGGAACCAGATTTATTACCGGATAACCGCGTTATAGCAAAAATACCGGTAGCATTTTTTCTGGAACTCAAACGATGACAGGTCAAGACACCTGTAAGAGTGTATTTTCCAATAAGTTTGAGTGTTTAGATGATTAAACTACTTCCTGTATCTTTCTATAAATTAGATTAAAAATGTTGTTAGGATATATATATTGATATCAAATCTTGTTATGTTTGAAATTTGTCATTCTTTCAGCACGTTGTTGCTTTTCAGCTATAGGAGTTTCTAATATTAAAATAAGAAGTTTTTGTTCGGAGATTTCAGTTTATAAGGAGAAAGACAACATATTAGTGTATAAATTCAGCTAAAATCAAAAATCAACTATTTAAGTCAGTATTGTTCAATATTTTTTGTTTATGTCAAGGACACAAGAAAAAATACCGTAATTTAGATATCAACTATATCAATATCTATAGAATTTAGTACTAAAAAAGTACTAAATTCTGTATACAGATATTTTTAATTCAAGTAAAGTGCATTAAAGAAATTTCGTAATTCATCAACGTTATTAAATTAAGTATACAGATATTTTACTTAATTTCATTTAAAAAAAATAAAGAAGAAAAAAATTTTAAAAAAGTAAAATTTAATTATTAATATCAATTATAAAAATAAATATTTTATGAAGCACAAATTAGTCTGTAAAAAAATTAAGTTACAGGATAATTTTAATGCATTATAAATGCTACATTTAAATTGCTTTGTAAATCGCTAAATTATACACTGTAAATCACATTGTTAATCACTAAATTTAATTTCCGTAGCAACTTTCAAATACAAATTTTAATAAAATACTCAAAAAGTTAACAATTAAATAATTCAACAACTCATAAATAAATATTTCACAATACATTATTATTTAATATAATAATTTTCAATGCAGATTTATCGATAATATTATACATAAAAATTAGATAATTTATTCAGACTCTCTATATTGTCTAAATAGATACTAGCCAGATAGTTAAACTAAATAAAATTTAAATCACTTAATAAATTGAAATATTCTGAAAAAATAAATTTTAAAAAAAAAAACACTAAGTAGAAACTAAAAAAAAAAGTAGACAAAAAAGTCACTGCAAATTTAATTATATATCCTGTTGTTTAGAACATTAAAACTAGTTTAGAAACAAGATTAAAAGCTTATGAGAGCAAAAATATAATTTAAACAATATTTAAAATCAATAAGTGAGCCGAACCTTTCATTATTCCTTAACTCTTGTAAGGGTAAACACATTGGACAAACCTGGTTTAAATAGTTCGATAACCGTACAAGCGGTAACACAACTGGTTTGCATTTATGAATGCTTTTCAAAAACTTTGATACAGTATAATTATTTAAAAAGTATCTTACGCTTAATTAAAATTTACAAAAATTTAATTATTCTAATTGCTAAATCTTATTCGAAATTTTACAATCTTTTTTACTCTTTCATAAAGTGAATCATCGATTATTATTTCCTTCTTAAAGATCACAAAAGGAGAAAGTTATTCTTAATTTCAGTTTTATTATTTTTAGTTTCATGTGAAATGTTTTAGATTGCGAAAGTAAACTCAATAGAGATAGAAATTTTAGCATTGTATGACATAAAAAAAATCGTTTAGGCTATATATCTATGTTAAGAAATGAAGTAAATAGCATTAAATTTTAAAAATTACTGTATAAAGGTTTAATAAGTATCGGATAGTTTAGAGAAAAAAAATAAATCTTCTGATTTAGTAAGTCTAAACTCACTGCTTATTAACATCTAATATATTTTTACGGTTTTGTATGGATTCCGCCCTAAACATGAATAATTTGGATATATAGTTAAAGCTTCAATAAGATTTAACTATAAAAAGACAAAAAAAAATTCATATAGGATGTATCTAGTCAAGTTAAAGTGCATAAAAGCGATTAAAGTATGAGCCTATTCACAGGGTAATGTTATATAGTCCTTTAACAAACTTTTTCATATTTGTATTTAATATTCATATTTTTATTCTTGTTGATTAATTTATTGTTAAAATACGATTTTTAGAATGTTGTTTTGTTGAATTTTATAATGACAAGTTTTGTAATTTTGTTTCTAATTATTTTGTGCTGTTCATTTGTATACATCTATGTTATGTACTATTTTTTTAACTTCTATTGTATATATTTTGTACGCTATGTAAATTATTGCATATGACAGGGAAGCAGACTGCTTTTGAGAAAATAATCCAGGAAAGGCATTAGCAATTACGTAATCATACATATCTACCGAAATTTAGTTTTTGTTTTTTCTAACTATTTTTTGTTTAAATATAAGTTTGATGATATTACTCAGTAGCAGTTACATAAGCGCTACATTTAAAACAAAATGCAAAAGATAATATTCCGACTTTGGAAACAACTCAACTCCCTTGAGAAAGGCAACTGCAACGCTGAATTTTCACAAAATGAAAGATGAGCTAAACAAGGAGCTACATTTCGCCGAAAAATGACTTTTTCAGCAGATAGAATTTTAAGGACAATCTTTTCGACGAGAAACGATTAAAAAAATTAGCAAAAGCTGCGATTTAGTTCGTTAAATACCTGAGATAGCAAAACACGCTACATTGTGCCATCACTACTTAAGTAATACAACCAACCAAATAAACCCGTAGGATTACCTTACCTTTCATTAAATGTATTGTTTCTATCCTTTTTTAAGATAAAACAGTATACGCTTATCAACATGCTTAAAGTGGGGAACAATCAAAATATATCGTTAGCTGAGATTAATTTCCTTTTATAACGAACTCGCATACAGTGGCGTCCACCATTTTGCTCTTAACCAGCCGTGATAGCTTCAGACTCAATGATTAAGTCGTAAGACAAAAGTAGGCTAAATTCATTTCCTCTAGCACTTCATGAAAATAAATTATCTCAAATGAGTGTTATTTAGTTATTTTTAGTGGCAACACTGAGCTCTCGGTTGGTGTCAGTAGCATAAATGGTACGGGTACCTCTGTGTGATCAGACATTGGAAATTTAGCATTCCTTTGTGTAAATTCAATATATATCCTTGTATAGAATATTGACATCTTTAGCACAACCACAAATATATACTGACCTACGATCATCTTCAAAGAGATTAGGAATATTCGTACCCGATATATTGAACACTGATAAATCGGAAGAATTCCTAATGCCATTTGAACTTCCCCTTTGGCAGGAAAAAATTAGATCTGATCACGTATATGTATTTATAACTCATAGTATAGATAAGATATATAAATATTGTAGATTTTTTTTGAACGCCGTGGGACCGGTAAAGAAAGTAGAATAGACAACAAAACGTTTCACTATAAAGAAAAATATGTTTTTCGCATAAACTGGATTGGAAAGAGGCTAAGAATAGAATCAAATCTTAAATTATGTTAGTGCGCAAATTTTAACTGATAGCCCATACTTAAACCATTTGAACACCATGTAGATTTTAATGCAATACTTCTACAACGTTATGATATAATTTTTGCATAGATTAAAAACGTTGCACAAAATATCCTGACAATTTTATAGGTATTCTAAATAATATGTTAATGAGCTCATAATATTCAGAAATATTGCACAAAAGTACCATGACGTACAATGTTAATTGATACTTATGTTAATGTTACGTACACTTTAAAAAATCTCAAATTTTTATTCATGAAAATCAGAAATTATTCAAATATATCACCACTGTTCAATTTCCTGTAATAAAAAAAAAAGAAAACTTATTTAAAAATTGCTGCTTGTATCGTATTTCAATTATCACCTATTAATGCCGTGTTAAAGTATCTGATAAAATAAAATAAGAAATATCACCAACTCCTTACAATATGCATGTACTTAAATTTCTATTAAAATGAAATGAAAGGCAAATATCACCATTCAAAGGTCTACGATAAAATCCCCACTCTTATAAAACTATAATTACCGACATTCAATTTTGTATTACATTCCTATGATAAAGTTTTTAAATAAAATAAAAATGAATGACCACAATCTTTTATAAAACCTTTTTTATAAAAATATATTTACTAATTTTACCACGTAGTACGAAAGATTGCACAACACTAATTCACAGTATTTCAGAATATTTTCTGTAGTTTATAACCTCAGTAAGATATTATCCATTAATTGTTATTCAATTAATGCCCTCCAAATTATATCGCACTTGCATTTTCAGTTAAGTGCGTATCACACTATTTGACAATATTAAGGAATGCTTTCCATAATTTAAAACTATAGTGGAATACTATTTGCTGATTGGTTTACAGTATCATTACAAATCATATTATACATGTGCATTTTTAATTTACAGTGCTTACCTTAAAACAAACTTATTTAAAGATTTATAATAGAGAATTAAATTAAAAACAAAAAATTAGATAATGCAAAAGTACTCAAAATAAATCATACTTGAAGAAAACAACAATTTTTACAACATTCATTTCTAAAAGAGTCCAATGTACAGCAAATTTTTTCCCACCAAACAAGCTTTAAAAAAAAATACCATTTTTAAAACAAATTACTAATTCACACAACGTTCGTTAATTATAACTTTTAAAACTTGAAAGAACAATAAATAATTCGAAGTGTTAGATTCATCGGCTCAGAACAACACATTTTTTCAGTTAAGCCTTACTTTTCGATACAATTTAACGGACGAAAAAATAAGGATAACGGTCTTAAGGGCACTTTAAAGGGAAAATAAACATAAAGAGTCATCATAAAATTTTTCCTCATATTTTAAAAATTAAAAATAAAGAAAAAAAGTTCTCGCTTATAAGAAGGAAAAAAAGTCAAACAATAATTCTTTTTCGGGTAAATTTAGAAAGCGAACAAAACTTGCGCACCTACGAAAACAATTCGTCTAAATTAAGATCAGTTTAAAGAAGAACATGCAAGACTTATACCCGACGTGCTTAAGTATTTCTCCCATTTTGTCTGAAAGAGATATATGAAAAGAAATGCTAGCTAAAAAGGAAAATGGCGAGAAAAAAACTGTCAGGTTTTCAACTGTAAAGAGTAATTACTAGAAGACAGTTATTATCGCGAACCGTTAATGATCCACTTCATGAAAGGTACGGCTTAATTACCGAGAACGGTTACCAGGAACGGTTATAAAAAGAAAAGAAAGAACAAAAAAAGGTCTCAAAAGAGAAATTGGTTAAAAGAGAACAAATAACTAAGAGCTCTTAAAAGCGACGAGAGTAGAAAAAAAATTTTGAAATTGTTGCCAAGAAGAAATGGTGATCTAAACACAAGAAGAAAATTGTAGTAGAGATGGTAAAAATTATTAACCAAGACATTTAAATGACAAACTAAGTTTGATTAAGATAAATACCGACAAGATATTTTTTTTTTTCATTTTGTTCTTTCACAAATCTTTAAGAAAACGATTTCGATTCGTGAAGAACAGTTTCCACTAGGGAATCATAAAAGAATAGGGATTTATGGAGCATATTCAACTTGTTACAAATCATTGTAATG